ATCCATAAATAGAATCTATCCATCCATAAATAGAATCCAGCCATCCATAAATAGAATCTAGTCATACATAAATAGAATCTAGACATCCATAAATAGAATCTAGCCATCCATAAATAGAATCTATTCATCAACAAATAGAATCTAGCCATCCATGAATAGAATCCTGCCATCCATAATTAGAATCTAGCCATCCATAAATAGAATCTAGCCATACATAAATAGAATCTAGCCATACATAAATAGAATCTAGCCATCCATAAATAGAATCTAGCCATCAATCAATAAATAGAGTCTATCCATCAATAAATAGAATCTAGCCATCCATAATTAGAATCTATCCTTCTATAAATAGAATCTATCCATCCATAAATAGAATCTATCCATCAATAAATAGAATCTATCCATCCATAAATAGAATCTATCCATCCATAAATAGAATCTATCTATCAATAAATAGAATCTATCGTTCCATAAATAGAATCTATCCATCCATAAATAGAATCTATTCATCCATAAATAGTATCTAGCCATCCATAAATAGTATCTATCCATTCATAAACAGAATCTAGCCATCCATAAATAGTATCTAGTCATCCATAAATAGAATCTATCCATCCATAAATAGAATCTATTCATCCATAAATAGAATCTATCCATCAGTAAATAGAATCTATCCATCAATAAATAGAATCTATCCATTCATAAATAGTATCTAGTCATCCATAAATAGAATCTATCCATCCATAAATAGAATCTATCCATCCATAAATAGAATCTATCCATCCATAAATAGAATCTATCCATCAATAAATAGAATCTATCCATCCATAAATAGTATCTATCCATCCATAAATAGTATCTAGTCATCCATAAATAGAATCTATCCATCCATAAATAGAATCTATCCATCCATCCATAAATAGAATCTATCCATCCATAAATAGAATCTGTCCATCAATAAATAGAATCTATCCATCCATAAATAGTATCTAGTCATCCATAAATAGAATCTATCCATCCATAAATAGAATCTATCCATCCATAAATAGAATCTATCCATCCATAAATAGAATCTATCCATCCATAAATAGAATCTATCCATCAGTAAATAGAATCTATCCATCCATAAATAGTATCTAGTCATCCATAAATAGAATCTATCCATCCATAATTAGAATCTAGCCTTCTATAAATAGAATCTATGCATCCATAAATAGAATCTATCCATCAGTAAATATGCATACAGTAATGTTCATAAGTGTTTGAATGCATTAAAAATATCTTCCTTATTTGGAAAATATTCTTCACAAGAACATCACTTTTGAAAATTGTTTAAGACACAATAATGATGTAGCATATGACAGAAATGATATCACTTCATTATTATATACAAACTATTGAACAATAATAAAACTAGTAAAACTAGTTCTCACTGGCATTTGGTTATCTCACACAAATATGCACAGGCATGCAGTTATGGCTTGAAATCGACCTCCACCAGGCATCAGTTAATTTGATCCCCATACTGCATACATTTCCAAATTCTGATAATAACCTCATATATTTAGATCATTTCAGCTCAGTATATAGAACAAAAATATGAAAAATTTTTTGGCAAAAACCCAGTTGATTTTAATAATTAATATATTACTTTCATCCGTGTTGATGAATAATATCCAAATATATTTTTACTCCCAGCTTCCGTCTCTTTTAACAACTCCACAATTCTACAACAATGGAAGTAGTTGATATCTGAAAGACAAGGAAATAAATAATAATGGCATTTTTAGTTGAACCAAATATTATTTAAATGAGTCATTTATTCATTTATTGACCTTTCTATTTAACAAATCTTCATTTTATGCTAAAAACAAAAAAATATCCTATACCACTTGTATCTGGACTGGGTTTCTGAAAGATTTTTTTATTAAACTTATAACCACTGTCCTATTTTTCAGTTTTTGATTCCTATTTCAGATTAAAAGTAAAAATTATCAACCTGAGCAATTCTATTAAATACATTTACTTGATTTAGAATTATACTGTTATTTTCATGAGTTCTTGATAATTCCATGTTCTAAATACCCAGCAAAATAACCAAAATAATTGTAGATGAGAAGCCAATTTATACTTTTAGCTGGAATTATTTTTCGCTGAATAGACTTTTTGGATGTTTTGTATGGATTTTATTTTCACTGATTTTTGACAAGTTGAATGAAAAATGGTATATTTGCTGGATTTTATTTTCAATGAATCAATCCTTCAGCAAAAATAGCAAAAATTAATTCCAATCAAAAATAAAGTATTCTACAGTATTTGACGCATACTCACATGTTCCAGAGACAAGCTGTGTTATCTCATCCACAGCGGGCATATCTTGTATAGCATTGTTTATTTTCTCTCTTATAACCAAGGCAGACGACAACCACTTACGATCTACATGCCGTCTATCAATTAACCAGTCTGTAATGCAGAAACGTTAATGTCTTAAATTACAGTATAATGACAGGAGTGTGTTCTACAAATTTTGACCCTCTGAGTAAATTCTCAAAACTGACTGAAAATAATTTGTAATGCAGCTATATGTCAGTACATTTTCTATAACTTTTTTATCATATTGAAGAGAAAATCTGTAGTTACTTTCACCTGTCTGCTGAACAAAAAGTGCTATGAAAATCCCATTTTTTCTATTATTTGTTCATAATTAAATAATCAAAATAAGAGATGTTCTCCAATTTATGGTTTACCAAAAATACAAAGATATTTCGCAGATGAATAGTCAATTTTAGCTGCAGACTAATTTGGCCTCATTTGTTATTATACTAATTTAAATCAGCAAACATAGAAGGCGTTTGCAAGAAATGCGGCAGACATTTCAGCGAAGGCCAGAGTCCTGAAGACTGTTTACTTCTGCATAGTTTCCATTGATATTAATTTTGCATGGCTCGGTTCATTCCATGTTTAGAGGTCAACAAAATAAATTTATGAATCCATGTCTTTTTTGCTGTTCTTTCGTGCTCATGATCAGCAGATATTTTCAGAGTTTTCAACAGGAGACCAACATTAGTAAACATCAAAGCGTTATCATCGAATAAATTGCGTGAATAATTTTATATGAGAATAAATTGCGCAATGACGTTTCCACCGAATCTGTGGTTGCCTGGTTGCTTTGTGACGTTGCATGAGCTGTCAATCATTCTCTGTTCAGTACCGGGGGAAAAACCATGTAATGTCTCGTGAGGGTGTTTACAAGCGTTAACAGTCTTCAGGCCTCTGGCATCATGAAAAGCCTGTGGCATTTCTTGCAAACGCCTTTGCTGTTTACTTATTTAGTATATAACAAATTAGGCATGAGGACTTCATGGATGTACGAATGTTTATGAAAGTTTATCAAATATTCAAAAAAAATTTACCCAGGAAAACCCTCACACCTCAAATCCAAAGAAAACACATTAATTGTCTCCAGAAAGATATAGTGTCAATATTAATATTCTATATTAAATTTCAAACACTTCAACAATCATAATTTATACTATTATTAGATGACACAGAGAATCCATCTGAGCAGTAATAGCTTTGTTAATGATACCCCCACACCACTTATACCCTCCCATGAAATTCACAGACTGAAAATATTTAAAAGGCGGCGGTCGTCGTGCAGCGCGGGTTCGAATTTCATGTAAACAAACAATGTATTTTACACGCGTTGTCGACGTCGGTATGAGTCCCATATCGAACAGACCGCGGCGTAATGACCACCGCCCATTAATATATAGAATAACCTACCTAGCAGTTTTGTTGCACTGATGTCGATTGGCAAATTGTCTATCTGATCCTGTGTGAGTTCTACGCCCTACAAGTGAAAAAGATGAAGGATTATTCACCTGTAGTATTCATGCTGACATAACGCCTTATGTTTTTTGAGTCGTTTGTTACAAACCTGCATTTTTTTCACTGTTTTTATCTTTCCAGCTGGTATGATCAATTTACTCGTGTACTACAGTGGAATAACCTTTGACCTTATATCTAATTTGCATGTCACTTTGATTGAATCGAGGTACAATTCTTATATAGAGACTAAAGTAAATTTGTGGACTGTTCGAAGAGCTATGTTGCCATGGAAAACTCTGAACGGATTGTAAACGCATTTCGGTTTTGTTATTTGCGCGAAACATCGGACTCCGATTACAAGTGTGTTTACTCGTGACGTAGCATAACGTGGGTATTTTGTCGGTTTGTTGGTTGTTAATCGCATAATTCTTTACTCACATAATACTGATGGTAATGGAGGCCCGTGAGAAGTGGGAGGATGAGGTACGGCAGTTTTTGAGCACTTTCACAGACATAAATAGAGGACCATTAACAAGTGATCATGCTCTTCCATTCCGGCTTGTCACATACTCTCTTACAGAACATGAAGTTGAAGGTGAGACCCTGGACTGGGTGCTGCAATACCTCGAAAAATAGTAAGTATATTCCTTAGCAATGTTGATATTCCTATCCATGGTTTATTATTATGACTACAGACCAAACAGTTGCAGGCAACAGATTATATTATGCAATGCCGACGGTAGCTTATCCAAACCGCATGATACATACAATCTGACACTGCCACAACCAGTGTAAATTACAGTGAACTTATCTTTGTTCTTCGTGCTATAAGACATCAAAACAAGGCCAAACAGTAGTGAATGGAAGACGGGGTACAAGTAGCGGACCAAGGAGCCAACACAAGGTCAAAGTTAATTTTCGACCTAAATCATAACTAAGTTAATAGGGAGGCATAAATCATAAATGTGGCTATTTTAGGACTGATCCTTCTTGTACCCAGTTGAAAAAAAAAATGTTTACAAATTGCGACCAGGGGTGTGGCATGTATTAGTACCGGTATATGTATAGTTAGTACAGTAAATGCATTTTTGATCAGTAAATTTTTTAACACATTGCCTAAAAAACAAAAAAACATGTGATTTGAACTTATTATATTTGATTTACTCTTTAAAAATTCTTTTTACTAACTTGTTATATTTTATTTTTCTGTATTGATTGATATTTCTATTGCTATATACTGAAAGAAATGTACATTTTTAAAGATGCAATAAACAATTATTATTATTATTACAACAGAAACAGATCTAAGCTAAACCGACACAGTAGTGAAGAGTTTTGAGAACTTTTTAGTCTTTTACCAATTTGAAAAATCTTAATACAGTATTTATTTTTGATAAGGGACATCATCAAAAGCTTGATAAATAAAAAACTGAATTCCTTAAATTTTATAGCCAACTTCCCACCCTCCTAAAATATTAATATTGATCACCAGCATAATTTTTACCTCATTCAGAATTGATTGAAACCCATGTTTTTTTTTATCATAATAAACACTATTCATAGTTGATTTAATTACACAGATTTTAGAAAATTACTTTCTAATTTTAAAGCTCAAATTCTTAAAAAGGAGAGTTTATTATGAACAAGAACTCATTAAATAATAAAATCGCTTTTCATGGCTAAAATTTCCTCCCCCAATCCAACCCCAATCTGACATCATCTTATGATATTGCCTGAAAGGATTTTATAAGGTTTATCCCCATGTCGCCCCTTTCTGTAATCTGAGCATGCTTATCAGTTTACACAAAAGGTCAAGACAGGTTACCTATGTTGTCATTATCCGTATAATGTGTGGTATCAATTACTAATAGCAAATTTGATATAAAAAAGTTGGAATGTATAACTACTTGTATTTATCCAATTAAGTTTAACAGTGAATGATGTTGGATAAAATGAAAACCAAATTAAATTTTCTCAAAGTTTTTATATACCAGATTTCTAAAATTGGTCAATAAATCTATACATGTACATACCGGTATGTGTACTAAAATTAGTGAAACAGGAACTATAAAGTGATAGATTTGTAGTGGTAAAATTAGTGAAACAGGAACTATAAAGTGATAGATTTGTAGTGGTATAATTAGTGAAACAGAAACTATAAAGTGATAGATTTGTAGTGGTATAATTAGTGAAACAGGAACTATAAAGTGATAGATTTGTAGTGGTATAATTAGTGAAACAGGAACTATAAAGTGATAGATTTGTAGTGGTAAAATTAGTGAAACAGGAACTATAAAGTGATAGATTTGTAGTGGTATAATTAGTGAAACAGGAACTATAAAGTGATAGATTTGTAGTGGTCTAATTAGTGAAACAGAAACTATAAAGTGATAGATTTGTAGTGGTAAAATTAGTGAAACAGGAACTATAAAGTGATAGATTTGTAGTGGTATAATTAGTGAAACAGGAACTATAAAGTGATAGATTTGTAGTGGTATAATTAGTGAAACAGGAACTATAAAGTGATAGATTTGTAGTGGTATAATTAGTGAAACAGGAACTATAAAGTGATAGATTTGTAGTGGTATAATTAGTGAAACAGGAACTATAAAGTGATAGATTTGTAGTGGTATAATTAGTGAAACAGGAACTATAAAGTGATAGATTTGTAGTGGTATAATTAGTGAAACAGGAACTATAAAGTGAATAGATTTGTAGTGGTAATAATTAGTGAAACAGGAACTATAAAGTGAAAGATTTGTAGTGGTAAAATTAGTGAAACAGGAACTATAAAGTGATAGATTTGTAGTGGTATAATTAGTGAAACAGAAACTATAAAGTGATAGATTTGTAGTGGTAGTGAAACAGGAACTATAAAGTGATAGATTTGTAGTGGTATAATTAGTGAAACAGGAACTATGAAGTGATAGAATTTGTAGTGGTATGTGACATGTGGATATTAATATATTTCTTCAAGCAGCTTGAGTGCATTCATCTTATGATGTTATTAGGACTTGAATGAAACTTTGAAGAAATTTTTCTGCCAAAAACTAATAATCATAACAAAACTAATGAAGTAAAATCTCCAGTTCCGTCATTCTACAATTACTATATCGAGTCAGACTTTATATCCGAGAAGAGGTCTCATACTCCACCCTAGTTGTATCATTCAAATTCAAGATATTTTTTATATTTACATTAACACATGTCTATGAATGTTTTCATCAAACGATGTGTTTAATATTGTCATACATGTACATGGTAAAGTGGTTACTTGCTATCTGATCTGCATCATATACTTTTACATTATAATACCCCCACTATGTCCCTCTTCTATGCGAAGTACATGTTGAATATTTATTGATGAATTATCTAATTATTTTTACAGCAATGCACCTCAATCGCTGGCATTTGCTATTGCCAGGAAAACTGCTGATGCAATCTTATCATCTAACTTAAATAGATATATTCAACAACCAGATGATGAAGAAGACATACCAGGTAACCAATTAAAATTGTCTATTATTATACCTCTGTCATTGTAACGCTATAAGTTACAGCGTGCCATAATTTTGCTGTATTTTACGCGGTATTTTCATCCTACCATATAAAGAAATGCAAATTCCAAATATGGAATGATTATGCACATAAGCGTCCTCTAATAATAAAAACAAACATGGCTGCCCCTAGGGCTTGACCGGACCCACACAAAGATGTTCGCTAATTCTGTTCTAAACTTTTTGGATTTCGGCATTCCCATTATGTATCCTTGGAAGGAAAAGATAATAATAAGGTATGAG